TGAAATGTCTTCCTGATCATCCGCTGAGGTATTGTACCTCGTATCTCTAGTTACGCACATTTTGACCGAATGTTGGGCTTGTTGTTTTACCTTCTTTTGTTGATCTGTTCGTGACCCATTTCCCTTTTGAGTTTTCTCCGGTGGTGGAATGAGTTCCTTTGTGCGAGCTACCGTCTGAGGGTATGAGTTAGCCGTTCGAGGCTCTCGCATTGGACACAGGGTATGGTGGTGCTTTTTTCCTTTGCACCCTCTACATCCATCCCTTGTGCAATCTTTTGCCCAGTGTCCTGGGGCTGCACAGTTGAGGCATCTGCTATTGTCTCTGAAGACTGCGCGCCTCTCTTCTATGGAAGCGTACTTCTTGCATTCGCTTGATCTGTGGTTGCCACCTCCACAGAACATGCAATGTTCACTTCCTTTTTTCCTATTGTCCATGCGATGTTTCCCAGGATCGCCTCCGATCCTGCCTGTACCGGTGTGGGTCCGAGCTTTCATCGCTTCTTCTATTCCTTCTTCGGTGGCTATTAGCTCATCTAGATCGGCCAAAATGGTCTGCATAGTCCAACTGGACTCTTGAGTTTCCGACTTTAAACGGTGCTTTAGCACTTGATGCTGTAGCTCTGGTGAAAATTTGGAAATCAGTTTTTGTGACAGATATGAACCGTTGAGGTTTACGCCTTTTTCTTCTAGTTGGGTTATTATTGGCATTACGAATTCTAGAAGTCGGCGTTGTGCCGAGATCCTATTATTTTCGGCTCTTGCCTGCTCTAGGCGGGACTGGAGGTTGGCTATGATTTTTGATTCATTTCCATATTTCGTTTTCAAAAAGGTTATGGCATGCTCATAGTTTTCGTCTGTGACGGGGTATCGCCTTATACTTTCCCTTGCTTCGCCTTGCAGTGCGTTCAAGAAGTAATTGAACTCTTGTAGATTAGTTAGCGGCTGATCATGCACGTTTTCACAAAACAAAGTCCAAAAATTCGCAAACTCCCAAATTTTTCCCGTGAAGGGAGGGATGGGAATAGCTGGCAATTGTGGTCTTGCCACTGTGACCTGACTGCCAGTGGGTTGAGTCGAACTACCTGTTGCCATAGATAGTTGTGCGTGATCGCGAGCGCTCAAACGCCTCGCTTCTATTTCGATGGCAGCAAGTTGTGCTTGCTCCAATATCGTATGCGCCTTCTCAATATGTTCGTGAGCCTGTGCTTCTTGCTCGTCATTTAGTGACTCAATCAATGAGTCAACTAAGGCTGTGAAGGTGCATAAGGTTTCTTGGACTAGTCGTGAAGTCGAATGTAATTGCAGAACGAGAGATTGCAGGCGTTGGGAAGTACTAGGGTCGAAAATTAGAATATTTTCCGTTTTGAAAGCGTCTTCATTTTCTTGTATAATGCGTTCCAATTTATTGCAATATCTGGTTAGTAAAACCTTCTGTGATGTAGGTCCCGTTATCGCTTATAATATTTTCGAAATCTCGAAAAACTCGAAGAAAAGTAAGCGAAAGAAAACGAAAAGGAAGTTTCGAATCGAAGAGTGCCGGCAGACGATGAGCGTCCTTGATAAGACAATTGCTAAGCCGTGAATTGTGTAAAGTGTACCTGACCGGATCCTTCAAATAGCCGATGCACCATATATTAACTATACCGATATTACAGCCATTATAGCTGGTATAGTCGTTTAACTTCTTCGTTACTATGATTTTGCCACAACCACAGCTACACGACCGAATATCAGAGCATTATTGCGTCAAGCAGAGAAAACCTCAAACTTGGGTAATTAAACCATAAGAATGTAACAGATACATACGAAAAGGCAAGAGTTATCATAGATACGAAAGGCACAACTCATAGAGGATATGGCTTACGAGATGCATACATACGAGATTGATACAAGATACAAATATAAAGCTGAAGAAGTTAAATAAAGGCGTAGTTATATTTAATCAGCGTATGAGCATAAGAGAATAAATGAATATTCCTTAAACGTAGTAAAGAGCTATATGAAGCGTAATCGAGAGCA